GGAGTTTGAACTGAGTGGAAAAGTAGTGTAGATGGATATCTGTCACTTGGAAAGAGAGTTTTAACTTTTTTATCCCTCTTGGTTCACAGCTGTACACGATCTGAAAAAAAAAAAAAAAGACTGGAAGGCAGGTTACCCTGTGAAAGGGCAGAGTGGTCTGATCTTTCCACACGCCACAAGATGCCTCAATCTGTACTACCATCAGCTCAAGCACATGTGCACAGATCTGGATGGATGTTAAGGTTATCTTGCAAATTAGGCTGGTAAACTGGGTGCTCACAGATGGTCCATGAGAAGCTGCATCAACCACACTTTGATGTGGATTGTGCCCTTAGATGTAGGAAGATTCAAATACTGTGTGCACGCATGCATGTAGCGATTTGGAGTATTCAAAGCTCTTCACATACATTATTTCTGAAACCTTGCAGCGCTCTGCAAGACAGGTCAGTATTGTCTCCTCAGCATTGCAGGGTGGCTGTGTGTACTGAGAATAAGAGAGAGAATAGCTTTCCTAACACGACAGAGGCAGTACTCAGATTGGAGGCTTCCAGATTTGTAAAGCAATTAGGCAGGAAACCTGGGTATATGCTGTCAGTACATGCTGAGTTTATCTGCATAGCTGGAATGAGTATTCATCAAGTCACTTAGTATTCTGTATGACATTATGCCAGGTTTATATTTTCAGTACCCCTCTACTCTGAGGGAAAAACAAAATAGAGAGCCTTTGGCATGTCTCTGTGAGTTTGAATGGGGGAGTGTCAGTGCTAAGACCAGGGCTTTTTTTGTCATAGAACGCACCGGAACGGCATTCCAACACCATTTTTTGACAGATTTTTCCAAGTGATTGTGAATCGCCCTGTTGGGCGTAGCAGATCCGCGGCAAAAATCATTAACATAGTGCCTGCGGGCTGCTTGTGTGTCGGCACTGATTGTCAGGGCTGATTGTGAGGGCGCTGCTCGGCTTGGGATGCTGCTCGGCTTGGGATTGGTTGTGCGGTCATGCGCTGAGTACTTACTGCCGGCAGCGACCATTGTGTAAAAGTGTGACCCCAAGACGTGAGTTCTGGCACCATTTTTTTTTTTTTTTACAAAAAAAGCACTGGCTAAGACACACGCTCCAACCCCAAATGGGAAAATTAGAAATAGAGTAGTGGGCCAGTTGTAGAATCTGCAGCCAGTTTTAGTCTGTCAGGCAGAAACGGAGCATCAAACCAGACTTGGATATAACAGCAGAGGAACAGAGTTTGGCCCCTTCACCCATGCTGTTGTGTTTTCCTTGTCCAAAATTTATGCACCCCATGGATGCTGCCATTGCCTTTGAGGGTGCCACTTGCTTCCACATCCAAATGAATTATTGGGTAGATTGCAGGGGATCTTGTACTGGCACGGGGCCATTGCCCAGAGAGAATCCCTCAAGCATCCATTAAGAACCAGTCACGGGATTTGCTGAGTTTTTCTTCTTAAGAAGTGACATGACTAGTAGAATGACCACAAACCCTTCAAGTTATACTCTTTCATAGAGATCTGCTTGCTGGTTTCAAGGTGGATTGAGTTTCATTGTTAGCTATAGTCCAACCTCTAAACATTTTGTAATTGCACTTCATGGGAAATGAAAGAAATCCAGCTGTGACTTTGCTAAAAAGAGTAACTTCATGTGGTATATATAAAGGCTCCAGGCTGCACACTTGGCGTATACAAATATGCTCCCAGGAAGCCTTCAGCTTCTTATACAACTGTCCAAGCAGCCATGAAAATCAATGGAAAGCACATACCACACAGGGGGTAGAATAAGATTCTGGAATCCAAGTGCTGCCCTGAGGCTGCGCTCTTAGATCCATTTCTTTGGAAGAAAGCCCCACTGATATAAATTGAATTTATTTCTGAGTAAGCACTGATGATTGTGTGGTAAGTCTTTAGAACATACTGGCCAGTCTGGCTCCTGACCACACCTATGCTACAAGAAGACACAGTTCCTATTAATCAGGCAAATGATTTTTGCCTACCTACATTTTAAAAGAAGTGGTGCTATGATATAAAAAACAATGCATGGTTAATAAATTGGAGACCATAAATGAACTGCATGTAATAGATTGGAATGCTGGGGATTCTAAATGATAAATAGCATTAATAATCCTACTTTAAAACACACTCCTGCCTGGGCATCATCTTTTACATTCAGGCCGAATTCAGGCTCAGGAGAACAGATTTAATAAGATCCAAAACTAGAGGGATTCAGTTCCTCTAAATGTTTGACCTTGTTTTTGGAGTTCAAAAAGCATTACCGTATCTCCCAATCTGAAATTAACGCCATCCATCTCCACGTACGAGAATGTCTGCAGAGTTGTCTCACGCTGAACCTGCTCTTTCATGCCAGATCTAGAAAGGCGTGACCAGACCACCATGTAGCTCGTAGATGGATCTGCAGATGGCCTGCCAAAGGTGCATTTGAGGTAGACACGGGCTCCCAAAAGCTCAGGTGTGACTATGGGTTGCAAAGCTGAGTTATGGAATTGTCCTGTGTGGAAACAGATGGTGGTGGCCAAATAAAACATTAGGATGGAAGCGGTGCTAGAAAATATAAAAAACTTATCAGAGCCTATCATTTAAGGGCTAAAAATGAACCATTGTGGAGCCATCTCACATTGCTTTTATATCTGGAATGATTAAGAACAGAAATATATAACTGAGATTTTGGAAGTGAACTGGCAAAAAGGAAGTGCAAAATTATAACCCAACTGCCTCAAGTGTTAACAAGAAGAAGAAATGTGTTGATGCTTCACTTGTTGAACCATTTCTCAGCACCAAAATTGGGTCGCGGGAATGAATGGCACAAAGTTACACAGTATACGTTTCCTTGTCCACTTTAATTACCAGCTTGATTTACCTGATTTCCTTAAGCGCCCCCACCCCATGCCAAAGCAAAGGATCAGAATATCAGGTGTGTCAAATGTCTCCTGAATTCTGGCACAGCGCTGCGCTAGAGTACACACAATGCTACAGTGGTAGAATATGAAAAAAATTGTGTAGGACTGATATGATCCATCCAGGTAGGTATGGATGAACTTGTCAGTTTGACTTTGTTCCACATTCATTTTGTTAAAGTTCCTTCCACCCTGTTGATGAAAAAAATGTGTGGATTTGGTTCTGTTCTTCTCAAACAATGAAACAGACAAAACTCTCACCCACTGATGGGAGGATGAGCTGCCATGGGCAGCTGGATCTTCTAGTGGAGCAGTGCTTCTGACATGGCCTTCCCAGGACACACACCTCTGAGTGAGGCACTGGCAGGCATTCCAGAGTAGTCCACGGTGTGCTTTCTTCCTTCTTACACAAATCTCTGGTGCAGCAAACAGTCCTACTCTGCACTCTGAGAAGTCCTTCCTTAAAGCAAAGCATCACTGGGCGCTTCCGTGCTGTATTACTTTCTGTGTCCATGGAGTAGCCAGAAGATGATGTTTCTGGTTCTGGTTCTTCCTTTGCCCTCACACACAATGCCTCGCTCTGAGGACGCATCCCTCAGGGTGAAGCCCTGGGTGAAAAATGCCGCAGCAGGAAAGCAACCAGCACAGATTTTCAGATGGTCTGGCTGGCCCAGTGCCTGCCTGAGAAGTCTTTTGTCAAAGCAAGGCACTGTGAGTGTAGTGCCAGGAGACTGCAGGGGAAGGGGGAATCAGAACAAAACAGAAACCAAAGAAAATCACCTTCGTAGCTCTTCCATGGATAGAAGTCTCTGCTGGTGCAAAGAGCCGTCTGCAAAATATTATCCAGAGCAAATAACTAACCATCTGGAAGCCTTTGATTTTTGCACTTCATACTTGCAAATCAATACCCAGGATTGAAACATTTTCATGCGTGAGAGTAAAGCACAAGGATTTACTAATTCTCTCTCTGGAGGAATCTCAGCTCCTTAGGAATTGCTTTTGAAAGGCACTGCTGGAAGGGCAGGCCATAAGTGCAAATGTCAAACCCCTTGCATGGTCTTTGAAACCCAACTTTTCCCTCCTGAGATAGGAGTGCTCACATTTGCTGGCAATACTATTTAATTACCTGGAAAGATATCTTCTAGCTCAGTTCCTCTTGGATCAAAATTATTTACTTGTGGTTCTTCAACTACTAAAGGAATAAAATAGGGTTAGTATGACACCATGAATGCCAAAACCAGTGTTGAAGAGCAAGGTGGTGCTTAGTTGAACTTAAACTCACTAGTCTGAGTAGTATACACTTTTCATGGATACCTAAATATGGGTGGCATGTGGAGGAAGGGACAGTTTTAGCGTGTGCTTTAATCTTGCACTGAAATAAGTTAGATGGTTTTTAATTATCATTATGATGATAACAAAGTCACCAGTGTGCATGTTTTTTGGCAAACTACGAGTAAGCTGTGCCCCGAGTTTACACATTGAAATTCCACCCCAAAGAAACAAAACAGAAGGGGAAATAAATGGAAGAAAGAGATAAACAAGAATGTGTGCATGCAATTGTGCTTAGGCTTATTTCAAATGGGACATAGAAAGTAGTCAGTTGCACCAAAAAATTCATAAAAATGATTTCTTAAGGAGAGATTTTGCTGTAGTCGTGACAGTTGACATGGCAAAGGTGTTCTGGGGTGGAGTTTCAAGCATAGGGAGCAGCAAACAAGGAAAGGATCAGCCATTTGAGGGTAAGGGGGCCACCTATAAATGCAATACCTGAAGTATAATAGTACAATCACATCTCTAGAGAATAAATCTGAAAAGCTTGTTCATTAGTGGGATGGCAGAGAAGGTGCTGGAGCCAAGCAGTGGAACAGTACAGAAAAAGGGCTTTGAACCATAATTTTCTTTGTGTTGAATCCATAAGTGCAAACTTGTACTGTATGATTCAGGTAATGAGGACAAGTATAAAGGACTATAAAGTGCTAAAGCCATCTCTATGATTCTGCTAAGGGAGAATCATTTCGAGCAATCTATATGCACCAGAGCACTCTGAGTTTAGGAGGTATAACAGATTGAGTGAGGAATGGCTGTCTGCCCTTCCCGTTTCCTAAATCAGCAGAATAGAGTCTAGAACTCACCAGTGGACTGGCAATGATTTCTGATGAAAGTAATTATCAAACTGTCACCCAGAAGCTGTTCTCATATTCCTGCCTCCCACACCTTCAAAGGCTCAGATAATCTTTCACAGTCATTCTATGCATCTCTCCTAGCAAGGAAGGCCTTTTTATTTCCGTAGGACTTGGCTCCAGATCAGTGTATATAGGGTGACAGAATATTTACATCCAAAGAAATATTTCAGTTTCAGACGCTGCTCAACATCCTCCTCCTCACCCCAGTTAGCTTTGCCCTTTCAGCAAAATATGGAGGCAAAGGTTTCAGTAGAGGTTACATACACAGTGTAACCAAGCTAAGCATACCTTGGTAACACAGTGCAGATTAAATTCTGCCAAAGTAATAACAGCTATTCCTCAGAAACACCTTGGGCGGCTGCTGATTTATTAGCTACATGGTCTGCATCTTACTGGGAGCAATACTTGACTCGCAAGGTCACTGGTATGTGTACAGCAATAATGGGACCTTTGAACATGTTGCAAGAGAGGTACATACCATTGAACTGATAAATGCAGACTTCATGAAACCCACCTTCTGCACAGTAACCCATACATCCTTGAGTCGGTTGCAAGAGATAAATGAAGAAGCTTCCACAGTGTCTAACAGAAACAGGTATTCGGAACAGACAACAGTCCTTGGTGCTTCCAAAAGAGAACTGCCAGGTAGCACAAGCTGTCAGAGGCCTTCTTTCCCCAGGGTGTGGCAGGCGGCCAGATTCAAGGGACAGCCAGACCGGAGCTTGGGTTCCACATTTGTTCATCTGTAGGGAAATGCATTCCACTCCAGTTAATTGACTTGTTTTCATTTGATGTTTGTCTGCAAGTATTTTGAGTGAAGTCCTGCTCACCAATGAAGTTGAGGCAATAGGCAGCACCCAGCTGTGCCATTCCACTAGTGCAAACGAAATTTGTGAAAACTATTCTGAAAAGCTATTCTCAAAATATATTCTGAATGATACTGTCATGAGGAAAATCCAACGGACATGATGTTTGCACAGTAACAGTTGCAAAACTGTGCATTGCACTTTCACAACTAGTTGCACATCCCACTTATACAAGCACACTGCACAACTCCTTGAAAAAGGAAATACTTTGCAGAAGTCTACTAGCACTATTTCAGTTTGTGAAATGGAACCACTGGATACTGCCCGATATTATGGGTGAGTTCCTGGAAGGAGGCAATGAAGAAAGAGCTCAGGGACAACTGCACCTTCCTCGTGAGGACTGACCAAGGAAGGCCTTTAGGCCAGGGAAAGCCAGAAGCCTGACTTCTCAGAAGCAAGGCAACTTGGTACCTGCCCAATCTTCCTTGGGAGGCAGTGTGGAATTGGTTAGTAGTCTCAGGGAAAGGATAATTTTCCATATTGGCCATACCTTTCATCTGCCCTGTATATAAGATATGGGGTGAACAAGTTATACAGCCCCCAAGGGTGAACCTGGTGTTGAGGCTGTGCATTCATCTGCACACCCATAGACACTGTCCCCACTATCCATTTCATTAGGAGGAACCTCATATGGAGAAGGGACTGGAATCAGCATATTTCTACCCCAATGTAGCAGAGTATCACATTTTATCATTTGCAGGCATTTTAACTGATATTTGTTCAACTTGAAAAAGGCCAATATTGCAGCAAACTTGTCCAGGCTTCAGTATTCTGACAACCACCATTTGGATGGAGACTTGACATTAACTGTTCTCTTCCTAATTATACCCTTTCTAGAATTTCTAATGTACATCTCAGATCAGCAACTATAAATCTTACAATGTGCCTCATATTCATACTCTTCAATACTGTAACAATTCAAGGAGTTTTGTTCTTCGTCTTTCTTTTTCTTTCTTTTTATTGTTAAAAAAACTTGTGACAGTTTACGGATGAGATTATCATAGATCTGCTTATATCTGGAACAACAGATCTGACACATTTTCTGTTTCAGAGCTTCAAACAAATGTCTTTTCATTTATATTCTATACATTTGTTTCACATAGTTTCAGTATGAAGTACACAAAGACTGGAAGTGTTTGCAAAGAGTTGGAAGCACTGAACACTTGACGCTTCTATTAATCTGGAAAGCAGTCTGGAGGCTCTCTACTGTCCAGGCCTTTAGCAGCTGCGCAGAAATTTCTTCTGGAATATCTAAATCTATGTTCAGCTAATGTAAAATACCAACGTAATGGCTCAGCTTCATCTGCCTTTAGAGGGCCATCAGATACTCTTAGTAAATGCTGTAGAGGAGAAAAACACAAGGAAGTGGGGTTGAGAAGCTATTCTTCAAAGCAAAAATGATTATGTCCTACACTGAGGTGCCAGAGTTATCAATGGACCTCCCTTACTCTGGCAAGGGATGAGATAATAGTGCTTCCAAGTTTTGCTTGTTACATTGATACATAGCTGCTGCTATAGGCTTAATTTCTCATTGCAGTATTTTCTAGAACCAGACTTGGCCATTCAACGGCACATGGAAGGGTATCCAGGCTGGGATTTAAGCGAGCAGCAGGCATCCTGGACAACACCAGGGCCAGAGTGATGGAGGTAGAAGGAGATCTAAGTCTTATTTCATTAATGACCAGATACTTGGAGAGACTTACTGGGAAAAAAGTGGAAAAAGTCAGGAGCAGGCAAGGGCTAGATGCCAACAAAAGTGTGGAAGGAGCAGAAGTTAAGGCAGAGTCAGGAGCAAGTGAGAGTCTTAACACAGAGAAGATATTGCAGGACCAGAGGCAACCACCACAGGAACTGATATTGCTGTGGCAAAACTGATCTAGACTGGAAGCCTATTATCCTGTACCTCCCAGCTGATCTGCACGATCGGTCCAGTCCCAATCCCACAAGTATTTGCAAAGTAAACTAGGCTTCCTTCTTCATCAGGCCACCAGGGGGGAGCTGCATCACTGCAGATCCTGGCAAAGAGGTTCCTTGGCCCAGCAGCTAACTATGATTTCTATGATCAAAAACTGGCTAGCATGGATCTCAGGCTTGCACTTTCTGCCACTCCATTGCCTTCTTTCATGCACAACAGAATATGACTCCCTCTTGGCCTGCCCGTAGCAAGATGGGTATAAAAATGTAAGGCTAATCTGCAGGAGTAACATAACCCATCTTGACTCAGCTACAGCACAATCTCCCTAAAATACAACCATATTAATGAAGACCTGTAATTACATTGGAAGGTTTAAAAAAATATTCACAAACATTAATGTTTCCATCAATTTATCTATTTCATGAAATAGTGCAAACTCCTTATTTTGCTCTTACTTTTCTTTTTGGAGTGGATATGCTACTTCCCAATCACTCTGCACTGCAACTTAAATTTCTCAATTGTTTTCTTTGGGCAGTAAACACTTGTCTACAGGGAAGAGAAAAGAGGAGTAGATTCAAAATCAACTGGGACATCTCTTCTCCAGAGAATGGTTCTGTCACTGTATCATTTTTTAAAGATCAACGTTCCCTAAATGCCATTCATCGCTGTGGCTCCACTCATTGACTAAAACAGTGAAACGCTGGTACAGGTTCATTTCTCACAAAATGAGGGGGCAGAATAGTGCATACATCTCTCTCATTCTACAAAGTCCAGGGTCTTGCATTTCCTTTTAAAGTGCATGGAACAAACAAATGCTGGGTAACATGACAAAACTAAGCTGCCAACATGGCAGCCCTAGTCTCAGAATACAGTGACATTTCCTGAGGACCACAGGAGCATAGGAAGTTGCCTTTAATGGGACCAGTTCACCTGACTGAGAAGTTTCCCATGGCTGATGGGAATTATAGTTAAAAACTTCTGGAGGGAACCAGGCTGCTTACACCTTGCACCATCATAAAGCACACCTGAAAATAAGTGCAAGAGGCCTTGTTTGCCATTGTTTCTAATTGGCTGTCCAATGTTTTAAAAGTATAATAGTTGCCCCCTCCAAGTGGGTTAAGTAGTTCCAAACTGTGCACAGATCTTTTCCACTTTGGAGTCCTTATGAAATAGCATCCTGCTTCAGTGCAACTGTTGAATTTGAACATTATGTCAGGTTTGAAAAATTATTTTCTAAAAAAGGAGTCATTTTTCTTTGGTGCAACTCTGCTAGATTTCTTAAGTAGCACCAGCAGCTCTTTTGTAGCAGAAAAATGGATCTTTTGTATATGACAGTGGGGTGAGACTGGAGGTCACAGGATAAGTTATGCTGGCTTCATTGTAGTTCTGTCAGCTGAATTTTACCTGACTTCCCCGAGGCTAAAAAGACACAAGGAGAACTGAAAGGCTGCCTCAACACAGAGGATAAAATGGTGGGAAAGATAAATTAATGAGGTTGACTCCAGTGGGAAGCATTTTCTAATGGTCCTTCTGATGGGAATTAGGGGAGCTGAGTCCATGACTTCTGGAGGACACCAGCTTGGGGAACACTGACCGAGGTTATGGGACATAAATCCTTGCCCCAAGCTCTGATTCTGCACATATCAGCTAGTGGCACTGCTGGGGCAAGATGCCCTCTGGGGCCCTATTGCCCCATCCTGGCTCATCTGCTACCTTGCTTTCCCATCCCATCCCATCCCATCCCATCCCCAGTACCCTCTTCCCTCCTCCCAATTTTTATTAGGCCACAGAAAAGGCCATAAACAAATATGACCTTTTCGAATATCCTCCAAATCCTCAAAGAGATCAGCCATCCATGTGGGCAACCCAACCTCATTCTACTTTTTTCAAAAGGAAGATGACAGGTGCAAGTGGAGCTTTGCTGGACCATTTAAAACACTGGAAAGAAGAAAGGGATCACCACTGATTATTCGTGCCACTTGCGACCCTCAGGGCTGTGGCCAATGCCTGCTGGTCCTAGGAGCACCACTGACACCAGTTCCCCTCTCTTCTCTTTTTTCGTTGACCCCGGATTCAGAGGCACAATTCTAGTCCTAGCATGCATGGAGAACGTTCATTACATCAAAGTCTCCTTAGGTCTTAATCAAAGGAGATAAGGCATTCTCTAGAGGAGTAGGAGTGGCATCTAATTTGAAGACTCAAGTGAACAAGAAGCATGGCGGACCTTGTAGACAAATGAGAAGGCACAAGTGTGTCCTTGTCATGAACTAAAAGGACTTGCACATACAATAGAGAGTGGAAGAAAGATGCAAAGAATTCAGGGTACATGCATGTGTGTGTGTGTGTGCACGTATGTGTATTCAACAGTCCTACAAAACTCAGTTGACATAATCTATTGGCATTTGTTTCCAAATAATAATGTAGTAATTATCAGAATTAATGTGTCAAAATTAAATTGGCTATGTCAGATGAGAGAAAAAATAACAAGGAAATATAGAACTGGCATCCCAGAACTAGTTCAAGAGTATCTGTCATATTGTTTGCAATAGTACAATGATTGTTTTTTAAATGAATCATACATCTTGATACAGTGGCTTTTTACACTGATTAATGTAGACATCAGTTGCCATTAAGAAGTGGATCTATGAACACAATTAGTGGTGGTGTTGAATGACAATAATGATGTTTTGGACATGTAAACATTCATTCATGGTGGTTTCATGCTGCTAATAAAGCCAAAGCCAGTACATGGCTAGCATTTCAGTGCATTTATTTAGAGCAGGGATCTCAAACTCGCGGCCCGCGGGCCAATTGCCGGGATGTGCGGGGCACGGGGGAGGGGCCCTGCGGCCTTCAAAGCGCCGGCGGCTCCTGGGCCGGCCTCTGGATGAGCAGCCCACCACCACCGCGGTGGTGGAATACTTGATGCGGCCCAGCCTCACCCAGACTCTACTTCCAGCGG